TAAAGTGTAACACCATACCTTGCTCGTTCTGTGGAAGGTCTACATTCTCATCCGAAAAACGAGATCTAAACTCAAACTCGTTGTCTTGTATCTCAGACCAATCGACTCATTCCACATTGATTCCTGCCCTCTCCAGAATTCTTTTCACTTTTTCAATTACTTTCTTCTCAACTCTTGCAATTATTCTTTTTTCGGAGTTTTTTACAATCTTCTTCAACATCTTTTTGAAGGATATTTTTTCTCCTTCTTCATCTTCTCCTTCCTCTTCCTCTATTCTTTCTTCTCCTTCTTCTTCTCCTTCTCCTTCTCCTTCTTCTTCTCGTTCTTCTTCTCTTTGTTTCTTTTTTTTTCTCTTTCTTCTTTCTCTCCGTCCTACCACCAACATCGATCTCACGAATGTTCTCATAACAAATACTTGAAGGGTTCATCCTCAATTGTTGCATCCAACTTTGCACCAACGGATGACTACTTTCATCCTCATGTATGTTAAAAAAACATATGTTCCTCTTCCTCATCTAATTGAAGAACACTTCGAATACCTTGAAAACATTTTAACAGATTTGGTATCAGTGATCCGGATTATGGTCAAACTCGTCAAACTCGTCAAACTCGTCAAATGTCATCTATTATAACTAATGTAATCGATCTATACATACCTGTGAATCCACACCGATCTGTCTAATCACATTTGCAAGTGTGACATAAAGACCCGGTTGGATTTGTTTCTTACACATCCTAGGACATGTGGGATCGGCATCCTTCACATCTATATACCATCCATTGGCGCCTAAACTATTCACGCATTCAAAAGGAAGCAACTGCAATATACATACAAACTAATCAATCAAATACTCAATCACAATAAACAAAACAATGATAAAAAAGTAACTCACCATAAGAGGTATTACGAATCCAGAAAAGTGCCACTGAGCCCTCGGTGTAGGACTGCTTACATACAACTTCAGTATATGATCGATTGTTCTTTCGAAAGTGTATCTCCCCCAAGAAAACCCTTCACAAAATTCCGGATTGTTGACTATGTCAACTGCATCATTTGGAATCACATCATTGTTCTTGATTCCATGGTTTAATACTCCACCTAGCAATATGATTATTGTTAATCTTCTCCTGTCCTCCACATCTTTGGTTGGAGTAGCATACAGCTTCTTTATCGCTTCGGATGTTGTCACCTTTGAATGTCTAAACATTTTCATCCGAAACTGGGTTCCCTTACATTTAGCCCAGTCTTGTGGATACTTTTCACAATAGGCCGCAGATAATCGCATGCTCGGTGATCAAATATCTGATGGGCACGCCATTCAGAGCAAACCATAGATGTTTCACTTCTCCTTCCAATTTTAGTGCTCGATGTAAGAGGACTGATGTCGGAACCATCTTCAATGTGTCCTTACATCTAAGATGGAAAATATGCCGAAACTGGGATTCTTTTTTGAAATATGTAAATTCTTCATCCGTCAAGGCCTTTTTAAGAGATCTAACAGT